TCTTTTCCTTCATCTGATCTCATCTTCTCACTTTTTATACCCTTCACATTTTTTAGATTTTAAAGTCTTTGTTTCATTGCTGACGTGTTTTATTATTTCACCTCTCTGATTTTATTTTGCATGTTATGTATGAAAGGTGCTTTATAAATAAAGTTTATTATTATTATTCATGGACGTTGTGAACTGCACTGTAAGATATTAACCAGTGTGTGAGTCCTGTCGCTTCGAACATGTCTTCTGACCCATGTCTCTCTTTGTGGCTCCTCCCCCCTCAGGTGAGGCAGGTAACCAGGAAATGACGGCTCAGGTGACGAGTCCCGCAGGAAAGACGGAGGAGGCGGAGATCATTAGAGGAGAAGACAGCACCTACAGCGTCCGGTTCATCCCTCAGGAGATGGGCCCTCACACCGTTAACGTTAAGTACCGGGGCCAACATGTTCCTGGGAGCCCCTTCCAGTTCACTGTGGGGCCCCTGGGAGAGGGAGGGGCCCACAAGGTCCGAGCGGGAGGAACCGGACTGGACCGAGGAGTGGCCGGGATCCCAGGTGAGCTGGAGACACCTCGTCTTCTATTCATCTCCACTTTGTCTTTCTTCTCTATGTTGGCTTAGATGCAGACGGTGGATAATGTGTTAAAATAAGTGTCATGAACATAAAGACGGAGGTTAAATGTGTTTCAGCTGAGTTCAGTATCTGGACCAGAGAAGCTGGAGCTGGAGGTTTGTCCATCGCTGTTGAAGGACCCAGTAAAGCTGAGATCACGTTTGAAGACAGGAAGGACGGATCCTGTGGCGTCGCCTATGTGGTTCAGGAACCTGGTGAGAATCAAGTCGTTCAGGTTTGATTTCCTTTAAACAGTCAGACTTTGAGTTTTATTTTAAAACCAACACTAATATTCATCACAGTGATCTGATCTGAATCTTCTCTGAAAAACAACCAAACTAATAAGAGTAAAGAGTCCGATCATTAAATTCATGATATATATTTTATTTATAATTTGTGCCTTTAAAACAGCAGAAACAAAATCTTACTATTATAACACAATTTATTCAAGATGAAACGACTGAACAATGTTCTTCACTTGCAGTAAATCTTCCTTCAACTTTAAGATTATTTTTTGTTACTGGTCCAGTTATTATGATGTCATATGATTTATCATCATTAGTTAACAAAGACTGGTTTAATGTCATTAAATAACAACGATATCAAAGTTATTCAACAGTTTTCTCTCGTCTCTCCAGGTGATTATGAGGTTTCTATTAAATTCAATGACGAGCACATCCCAGATTCTCCATTCATCGTCCCCGTTGCCACTTTGTCGGACGACGCTCGCCGCCTCACCATCACCAGCCTGCAGGTGAGAATGCGTCAGCTGCTATTTTAAATCACCACATTCAGATTTTCTATGAATAGATTTTTATGAGTGTTTCTGTGAGCGTGTGTAAATGAATCTGCTCGAACTTTAATATATTAAAGTATTATAACTTTAATTAACCTCTGACGATTAAAAACCTTTTATCTATTTCAACCACATTCACACAAACTTGATTTATTCAGCGAAATGTCAAAGTGCTTCATCTAAAAATGAAAAGGCTGATAAACTATAAATGAAAGATTCATGAGGTGAATGGAAAAACTTCATGAGACTAAAAAATCAAGATTAATATTTGTTAGTGTTAGTAAAGATAGTGACAAAGGTTTGACTAATTATTAAACTCACACACGCACAAACTACAAAAACAGTTATTACACCAGGTCTAA